TCCAAACGTCGCCTTGTACCATGTATGATTTGTTAAGTACGTAAATACATCTTCCGATCGCCTTTCAGGTGAGACGTCTGCCGGTAAGAGCAGTCTGCTAAACCTGCTCCTGGGAGAGGAGGTGCTGCCCTACTCACACCTGTCTTCAACATCCGTCATCTGCGAACTCAAGAACGGGCAGGACAAACGGGTGGTGGTGCACAGGTAGGTACACGTTCCTAGATTTTTGTTACTTCCGGGACAAAAGTATTGTTTTCGGCCGCGTTGATTATTTTTATTTCATTTTTTATTTCCGCACAGGAGACTCGTTCTCATTCATTTCACAATTTTCACAAAACACTGTGAAAATTGTTGTACAGTATGTCGCCACTCTCTACGACTAGATATGAGCCGTATGAGGGACCTCATCGTTACTTTTCTTCACTTTCCCACTATACTTACTGTGTTTCCGGAAACATGTATCGCAACGCTTGGTTTGGCTGAACACTGAAATTAAAAACTCGGGTTTGGAGAGTTCTATAACCTCCGTTACCGCTTCTGAAGCCTGACAGAGGCTACGCGATAGCTCCCATTTCTCGTCGTTGACTGTCTGTCCCCGGCAGGTGGCAGCCTGACGATGCCGGGCGGTCCGTGGTGCAGTTTAAGCTGACTCCGGACGTGCCTTACCATGACCAGCTGGCGCGGTACGTCCACCAGAAGGGAGACAGGGACCTGCCGTCTGAGGTTAAGATGATCGAGATCTTCTGGCCCATACCGATCCTGCAGGTAACGTCTTCACAAGTTTACCATGGCGGCATATGTATCCGTGACTCCGAAAATGGGTCCAAAGTGGTCTCAAATACAATGACCCCAGTGTGATGCACTACTGTATACCTAATCTCTCTCTCTCTCTCTCTCTCTCTCTGTGTGTGTGTGTGTGTGTGCGTGTATGTACACTGGAGATCACTGAGTACACTGTGTTGTAAGGTGACGGGTATACATGTATCTAGCCCGGTCACATATGTTGCAAATTTACAATTTATAAATCCTCGTCGGTTCAAAATCTACCTTCTTAGCGGAAGAAATAACGTTACAGCCCATGCAGTCCCTGACAGCGAGAGATAGTGTAACGCAGGCTAGGATGACGTCCAGTTTTTGGTACCCTGGGAGCCAAGGGCCGGTCAACTCCCCTCGGGCTAAACTCCCCGTAGCGGTAATTTAGATAGGCGGGGCGAAGGCCTCTTGGCTACCGAAGGAAACCGGCAAACGGCCCGATACTATTCTGGCTCCCAGCTGGGTAAGTTTTTGGCGGCATTCTGACATCTCCGTTCCTGCTCACAGGGTGATATCTTCATCGTGGACAGCCCGGGGGTGGGGGAGAACGAGAGGATGACGCAACAAGTCCTGGAGTACATCCCACAAGCCTTTGCGTTCATCTACGTCATCAACAGCGCCAACGCAGGAGGGGTGCAGGAGGACAGGGTGAGTGAGTGAGTGCAGTACTGCGCCTGCCTGAAACCCGTAATGTATTGTAGATAGCTTTTCTGCAGAATGTCTTGTTTAAGTCCGTATTCGCCTATTTAAGGATGACATCCCGTCTAAAGTTTTCAAATGCTAACGGACAAAATCATGATGCAATGTTGACCGGCGTAACTTCAGTTTCCACGCATGCGCAGTGCGTTCTGCCCATGTACTGGTCGAGTGGTCTCATGTCTTCTGTAAAGGGAATTTCTTCTCTCGTTTCATTCTCCAGAACATTCAATGGAGACGCAACGAAAACAACATCTTTTAAGCTTCAGGGACCCATTGACATGATAAACTTTAAGTGTTGCAAAAATTGAGTATCTGCCTCTGATGGTGGCAACTTCAATTAATGACCCTACGACTGGCTGCCACGATTTTCTCGTTTAGCTCCAGAAACTTCTGAAGACTCTGATCGAAAAGAAGTCGACAAAGGAGCTGCGAGCGTTCCACCCGAAGTCGTCCATCTTCATCTTCAATAAGTGGGACCAGGTACCCAAGAAGGAGGAGGAGGAGGTCTGTTTGTCTGTTTGTTTGTTTGTTTATTTGGCATTACCATAGCTGCCTTTAGGCGCAACACAACAGTTTTGTTTAGTAAGTACAAGCTGCGTAAGACCTGGCTTGATACTTGATACTTTATTGGGCTGTAAGGTTTGATTCACTCACCATACTCTTTTCGATTAGTACATGTACAGTGGGTTCTTGAACATGATTGGGGTTTGAGTCTCCTAAAACACAGGGCCTTCGGCTTGACGTCCAATTCGAAGGGACACCCCTAATGCTTAGGTCACAATTCAAGAAAGGGGCCCGCTCGGCGCGTGTTCGGCGTGTTTTTTGGCACTACCGAACGGGACCTGGACGGAGACCGGCGGGCTTCCCGACGGCTGCCGGCCTATTTTTGGCCCCGCGCGGTCGCCGAATCGATTTAACTCAGAGTTAAAAACACTTCGGGCCCCGTTCGGCGAAATACGCCGAAGCGACGCCGTAACCTCACTGCCCGGGACCCGTCGGGCGGCCGAACAGGCACCTGCCTAAGATTATGACGTCACATGTGCTGATCAGTGCATCAAATGGTCAGGAAAAGGGGGTTATAGGGAGCATATATAAACTCCTGCCTCAGACTACGTCGCACAGTTCACCACGTGTGTGTTACATCGTGTACTTTTGTGTGTGTTACACCTTGTATTTGTGTGTCAGAATGTCGAAGGGCAAGGGAAAACAGCCGGCACGGCTCTCTTGCCAACTTCATAAAACAGATCATGACAGGAATAGAATGCGTCTGACATTATCTCTTGTTACATCATATGCCTTCGTAATAAAATGGAATCAGAAGTTATTGGCATTTGTTTTCAGTCCAAATTTCAACAGAAGTAACGATATTCAGTGGTTTTATTGCTCAATAGCAAGGAGCTGCCACGGCACACTTCCTGCGTCACTGCTGAAGTACTTCCTGCGTCACTGTTGAAGTAGATGTACTTTCGAAAGTAGGCCCTCGGTTACTTTTGCGACGTACCAGTTCTGCCTGCCTCTCTTCTTCAGCTACCAATGCCAGAAGACCTACATGTAGGTTGTCACCAATCAGTCAATCTCAGACGGGCTTGTAAGTTGTTTGCAGGTTGCACTGAACGCTGCATCGCCAACTTCAGCGTACTCTTTACTTGACGTGTACTCTTTACTTGAAGTGAACGGTAGCAGGCAGTGCAGCACTTATATATGTACCTGCTCAAAAACACGAGAGGAGCCCGTCGGGATCCTGCCAGGAACCCGCCAGGGACCTGACAGCTGCCCGGCCGAACTGTAAGAGCCGGTCGGCACCCTACCACACGCCGCACGGGTCAAGACGGGCGACTGACCGGGCACCGGACGGGTCCCTGACAGAAACAGGCCGCAAAAGTTTATGAATATTAATGAGAGCCGCCGGCCGGAGAACAAGCAGGCCCCGACAGGGAGCCGTAAAGGAACATTTAATTGTGACCCTGACAGTACGGCGCACGCTCGGCGTCATGACGCCGGCCGGCGTCTACGCCGAGGGCATGCCGAACGGGCGCCGTTTCAAATGTGACCTAAGCAAAACAAAACTGTGAGTTTGAAGAGATTAGCTAATGCGACATCAGTAATCTTCAAGATATAAACACTTGTCCAATCTACTAAAGACTTATGCACGTCACAAAACACCTTGTCGTTATCCGGTACCATAACGTCTTCGTACGTCTGACAGTTTACCTTCTATCTCTCGAAGCAGTCGGTCTATTTTCTCAGCGTTGGTTTCCTTGGCAACCTCATCCTTAGACGTAGCTGTGACGTAATAATGATCGTTGAAGAAGATTAAGAAAATTGTTGACGTAAGCGTAAGAATGACACAACGTATAATTAAAATCATAGTCTATATAAATTCCACAATAAGGTATATATACTAGTAGACTGGCATTTTTACGCTTTTCCGAGATAAATAGAAATGGTGATAAG